CTTGATTTAAGACACTGTTTAATAAGGGCATTATCTGATTTGGTAACTAAATTCAGATGCTATCCTTTCCAACTACCTGCATTTTCAGTGGTCTGCATACAACTATTTGTCAACATAGGATTCCTACGTCATTGAGAATAATAATGTGTAATGATCTTGGATACTTCTAGGTACATATTAGATATTAATATTTAACTTTAATTTCTCTTTTCATTCTCCGCTATCCAAGATATTTCTAAGGCTCTCAAACCTTCATTACATAGACTGATATAACTATTCCTGAAGCTTTCTCTTTCTTTGCTTCTTCGTACATGATATGTAGTGATAGAAAATCAATTTAAATTGAAGTATAATATATACTTCAAAAAGAACAAATTGAAAGTTGTGCAGCCTATAGTAAGCTCAAGGGGAAATGCACAGTTAGTTAGGGCCCTGAATGCATAAGGAATGTTGGACTCTTGGAAGGAAGGTAAGTCTTATTTTGACACACAATATTTTGGTATCTAACATATGTTTGAACTAAAGGGTACTACAAAGTTACTTGTTCCTTTAGAAGAATTTTTTATTCTGCTGATTTCTGTTCCTCACTTGTTGTTCCAAATCTGATAACTTTTTGAAAATGTCATCCTTCTGCTTTTGAATACCTTCAGCCTTTTTACCAGCAGTGAGAGTTGTGGGTATTTTTAGTCATTTGCTAGATCCCTTAAGCTCTTTCCAGGACATCAAACCTATGTAGCAAGAGCCCGGTCTGTCTGAGAGTACAGATACAATTCATTAGACTAATTATTTTGCCAGAACAAAAAAATGACATATCGTGGTTAGGGTCCTAACCTCTAAAGAAAAGCCAGCAGGATATTCTGTCAAACTGTACAAATGCTAAAAACTCTAGATATGTTCAGAGAGCAGCATTTCATTTGTATCTGCTTCTGCAGTCTGGGTGAGCAAGATTTGTTTTTCTCCTCTTAGTTTTCTAAATTTGTAGGCATGATATAAACTTTGCTGGCTGTACGCATTTTGTTACCCTAGGAAACTGGAATACATCCACCCTTGCAGCCTACAGTTACTAAACATTTTGCTGTCTCTCATATTTTACTGCCTTAGGCAACTGCCAGTCTTACCTACTGTATAGTAGAACTGGCTGTGCTGACATGCTGGGCAAATTTGGGATTGGTCATTATGTGGCTGTGGGACCTCAAAGGAATAAATGGGCCAGCGTAGGAAATGGGCAGATGGCTTAGTAGGTGGCTCAGTGCTGAATAGCAGAGGAAACTACAGCTTATCTGAAAAATGGCACCTCCACCAGTAAAGCTGAAGTTCTGACCACCTGGGATAATTAAAAATCCAACTGCAATTTCAGCAAAACCTGTCAGATGCAATGTACTGCTCAGATTCCACCCAGGATAAAGAGTTGTGATTAACTTCCCTTCTTCCTTACTTTTCAACTGGACATAAAAATAAAGATAGATAATATTTTTCTTCACTTCTGCTGTTAATTGCTATGCAGTATGAGTGTGTTGGTAAGGCAGCTATCATCGTTCACCCTAAAAGGGGCAGTATTTTAATAGTGTATCAAACAATGTGTGGATGCCTCTGTCTCAGGCCACCATTACACATTACAGGTATTATACAATGAACTGTTTAATTGCACAACTAACTGAGACATGCTACATGTGCTATTTACCAATCATTCCATAAATAGGTCCAGCCAGCTATAAAGTTAGAGCTTGAAAATGTGCACTAACTTTATAGCTGGTTTTGATCCAACTTTAATTTGCACATGTAGCAAGGAATACAACCTGTGATGGCAATCTGCTGACCCTCCAGCATCCCAGGGTCTTTCTCCAGTGCAAAGTTTTCTGGAAAAGAACAGAAGGAAACCCGTGCCCCATTACAGAACTGAGCCCCAGGTTATTTCCTCTACCCAGCAGCACAACGCACACAGGATAAATGGCCTCCCCCACCTGCCATGAGAGCACACAGCAGGTGAGCAGGGACACTCCTGCCCAGCCTGAGCGCAGCCTGGGGATTATCCCAGGCAGCAGCAAGCAGAGGGAAGGGGAGGAAATCCCTGCCCCACTTCCCCCAGGTGAGCAGGGAACATGAGACACGCTGCTAGGCCAGAATGGAGCCCATGGCCTCATTCTGCTCAGGGAGCAGGAGCAGAGTGTGGGGGTCTCCCAGGTAGCAGCAAGACCAGAGGGAGGGGCAATCTCCCCCCACTTCTGTGCTTGCTGCTGCTCAGGACACCTTGGACTTTTTCCTGCTGGGAAGGGTGTCCCCTGCTCCTTGCATGCATGGGGGGAGGTATGGGAGGACATCTCCTCCCCACCCTTAGGTTGCTGCTGCCTGAGAGACCCCAGGGATCCTGGAGGATTCCTTCAGTGGTGCTGCTGACCAGAGACAGCTCCCCCAGCTGGTCAGCAGCAGCAGCATAAGCTGTTACAACTTTTGTCCTTGTCCGGACAGCCTGCGCTAGGCACTTGTAGTGATACATGTGGAGTCATGTTTTCATCGTGCAAGAAAAGCTATTCTATGATTGAAGTGTCTAGATCTGCCCTAAAAGGTGTATAAACAGCTTTGAGTGTCTCTGGACTCATGAAGAGCTAAAGCAATGCAAATCATTGCATTAAACTCCTTGTTTTGTTTTACAATGGAAGTAAATTACAGGAAATGTATAAGTGGAAACTAATGGAGGTTTTTTTGTCATACCTAGAAGAGGAATGACTGAGAGTTATATACCAAAGCACTGCCACTTACTAAAAACAGTTCATCTACTTCCTAGGCTAGGGTCCAGATAGAGGTCTTTACTTTTGTCATGAATATGTTAAAGAATTATTTTGGAAAATAATTTTAATACACATATCAAATCACCGATGACAATATTTTAAAGTAAAATCAAGTGATGTGCTTTTGTGTCTTTTGGCAGATCAAGAGTGACACTTCACTGTGTTTCACATTTCAGGAACATGTAAAGTAACTCTTTTGGCCCACCACAATATGCTAAAGAAATGTGTCTATTGATATACATTATATCACAGAACATTTGGTTACAAAGAGTATTTTTATATGTTAATATCACCCAGACAGATGGAGTATACAATTATAATTTTCTGAGTACTGCCTGATGATCAAAAATCACATTTAAACACACTACATGTTCATATGAAATATTCACTTCTTTCCTAAAACTGACCCAAATTGACAAAAAAAATCACTATTTTGTATAAGCTCCCACACAGCTTACAAATAACAGTGTGTCATGATAAAAGAAACAGTGAAGTGTCACCCAAACAACAGACAATGCATTTTTTTCACTTAATAAAATGGGATCTGTTCCTTTCAGCTACTGAACATCTACAAAATGCTAGTGAACTCAATCTGTTATCATTGAAGCCAATGGGAATGATGCACTCAGATAAAAAAGCAATGAGTGTGTTATAAGATACTCAGAAGTGTATAGTAGATTAAATTGGAAGAGGCCAGATTTATGGATTTTTAGTGTGCCCGTCACCCTCAAGCCCATAACCTTTAATGGGAATGGAAACTATCCAGCACCCTTTTCTAGAGAGACACAATATCAGGTACAATAAATTCAAACTATAGGAAGACTCTGTAAAAACCAATGAGTATGAGGTGTACAAGTTCTCAGAAACAGGTCCAAGGCAAAATTAGATAAATATGTCAAACTTTGTGAAATTATTTTTGCTTAAGAATAGTTAAAAAAAGGCATTGTAATCTTTATAAAAGTAAACAGGTAAAAGTATTGTAATAGATAGTGTTGGAATAGCTGTCTCAAGGTCCAGCCTTAACATTTGAGATTCTGTAGTCTCAGTCTTAGTAAACTGTGATTGCAATCTTGAGAGACTATAAATATTTTAGCTTGATTTGGCTCCCGTTGGAGTACTTAGGGAAAAAATGGATTGACTTTTAGTGGGAGTAGGACCACAACAAATCTATGGACACAAAATAGGAATCAATAAACTATCTCAGAAAAAGATAGATCACTATCTTTCAAAACCATTTTCATATCCACATACTTTTTTTCCTTCCACACTTTGGCCAAGGTTAGAAGTATAGAAATACTATTATAAAGAACTCTCCAGAAACACATAACCTTATTCTGTACTGTGAGCTCCATAAGGAAGCAAATGCTACCAAAACACTCAGAAGAAAATCTGTTCTCGAGAGAAACCGAGTCCGATGGTGCAGATTAAATGGCTTCAGAGTTTCAGCCAAGTTTCAGATAAATGTACAAAATTCTTGGCCACCATTGCTGAACCCAGAAACAAGTATCCAGCAATTATAAAAAGTTATGAGCAGTGATTTAGACAAAACCTGAAAAAGCACTATACAGACAAAAAATTGTAACCCTGAGAGATTTTCCATGGGTCAAACCTTGAGGTCTCTTCTCTCTTTTGTTTTTATTTTTTACTCATTCTTTATGCCATTTGGTTGTCACTAGGGACTCAGCGCTGAAACTTCATAAATAAAGTGCAAATCTCTAGAGTTTGAAACAAATTACCCAGCTGGCAGCTGTAGCAGCATCATATCCTCTGTGAATTAGGCATGAAGGGGGGTACATAACATGCATTGGACACAATGAGCTCATGCCAAGCATCTGTGGCCTTTGGCACTTTTAATACCAGACAAGCTCCCATTTTTGCAGTGGCTTTCATGTCATGTTATCACTGGGGACTGAATTTGGACTCTACCCTAAAAGCCTTCTCCTCTACAATTTGAGCAAAAGTGCTTGCTTATCAGTTCTCTCTTGATCTAGCATGGAGAGATTTGCATAGCATACTGCTACATGTTCTCAAGAAAAGTCCTTTTCACATGAATAAGCCTTTGTCTGTCTTAAGACCTCAGGATCTGATCCTCTTGAAATATTTTTACAAAGATAAGTTTTGAATCTAAAATTTTAATATAATGCTAACATCAGGAATGTGAACCTATACTAAACCATTTACTCTACAAATACATATTTACAAAAACAGTATTACCTGTCATCTCCAGGACTTTGGGAAAAAATATATTCCAGAATCGACACTGCTGAGCACGTAACTTTGTACGTATCTTTGAAGCTTCAGTATTTAAAGTTAAGTATTTTTGTTCGGAGATAGTGAAGGTTGGCCATTTTGTTCCATTAATCAGAGTCCCATTTGGAGTTCTAAATGATGAAAGAGAAACATTTCATTTCTCACAGGAAATTACCTGTGCACATCAAGAAAGCAAAATTATTCTATTGAAAAGTTATTTTATTTCAAACATCAGTATGGGAGTTAGACATTACTTATGTTTCCTTTTGTACGTGATAGAGGGGGGAAAAGAAACCCTAAAAACAACCAGTAAAACTTTAATTTTTTTACAGTATCAGAGTTTGATTAATGAAACTAAATCAACATATATTCGAATTTCCCTCCTCCCCCCTTTGCTTTTTTTCCCCTTTGAATCAAAAGAAAAGTTAATAAAAACAGCCTAAAGAATTTGCATGACTTGAATTCAGAAGGTCTGATAAACAATGTAAGCTGTTATGAGTGGCTTCAGAGCTATACATTCAGGACACTGAATTACTACCTTTTAATATCGATACAAATATCTGCTTCTAATAGTCACATGCATTGGATTAAATTATTCAGGTTGAAATGAGGTACACATGAAGTAAATGTAAAAAAAGGCTCAGCTCTCAGTAGATGACTAATGTAGGGAAGAAGTTACTTTTCCTGCTAGGAAAAAAACCACCCGTAACTGCAACTGTGCTGAACATTTGTGGTACGCTACAAAGCATGAAAAATTTCACCTCTCAGTTCCAAAATCAATAAGAATTAAAGGGGTAATTTGCATCTAATAGGATGAGTTGAGCAGCCTACAGGATCACAACCATAATTAGTATTAGCAATGATAAATAATTATATTTTGATAGAACCTAAATGATGAGCTGAGTTTAAGGTAGAGAACATCTGCTTAGTGACAGACATGTTTTATCCATTTTTTTCTCCTTCAGGGGCATTGCTTTTACAGGCAGGAATAGAGAAAAAAAATGAATCTAGTTCAGGAAGCAGACAAGGCAGTAGTGTAACCAGGGGTAGGCAAAAGGGACACCTGCCCTGGGCGCCAAGTTAGAGGGGTGCTGGAACTGACCGCCATCCTGTGAAGGCCCCCCTGCCCGCCCTGGGATGCTACGTCTCCCACAACCCACATGTTCCCTACTCCCGGCTGTCAGAACTGCATCCCCTCCCCCCGATTCCTCCCCCTCCCCTCTCCTTACCCCATGCCTTCCCCCACTCTCCTATAGGGTTTGCCACACATGGCAACTCTGCTTGTTATGCCACTGAGACAAGATACAACTCCAGACCACTTCACATTGCATAAAGCCTTATTCTATCTATAAAATAGAATCCCATGAAGTCTGGATGATATGTGACTATTAAAAATTAAAAGCTAGGGCATCACAGAGAAAGCTAAGAGGGCAGTTATGAGCACCTACACATGTGCTCCAGGCTGGGAGGGGGGTTGCATTTTAATCAAAGTGGTTCTCGGGAGTCGTGCTAATTAAATACCTGCAGCATCTCGTGTATTCAGTGTCCTACATTTCACTATATGTTTGACGACAAAGTGAAATGAGGCTTATTTGATGAGCTTTAGTTAAAGTGTCATTTTGAAATGTGGGGATTTTGAATACATGAGACGCTGCCCCACGCTGGAGCCTTCTGATTAGAATCAATTTCCGATGCTTTCTAATCAGAAAGCATTGGAGCTCGTATAAAAGTGCCTTATGATCCCACTTCAGTGCTAACATAATAGAACATGTCATCTCCTTGCTTGATCTGCTGCCTCAGAGCCTAGGCTACCTTTCAGCCTAAGTAAGGAATGGCCAGAAGATGATTCTGTGCTTTCTGCCTTGTTCTTGTGCACCAAAATATTTCCTCTATGATATGAGGGGAAAGCCAATCAAGGGAACTTTCTAAGGAGCTGTACAGATAGAGATATGCAAAATGGAAAGTAAATAAGATGGATTCAAGCCTTAAAGATTGCCTCTTAGAAACCAGAGGAAAGACTGTAATGGGTATGGAATTCCAATGCAGTTTTGGGTGCCACACTTCAAGAGGGAAGTGGATAACCTGGAAAGGGTCCAGAGAAGAACCACTCGTATGGTTAAGGGCTTGCAGGCCAAGCCCTACGAGGAGAGACTGGGGCACCTGGACCTCTTCAGCCTCTTCAAGAGAAGGTTGAGAGGCAACCTTGTGGCTGCCTATAAGTTCATCATGGGGGCACAGAAGGGAATTGGTGAGGATTTACTCACCAAAGCGCCCCTGGGGTTTACAAGAAATAATGGCCATAGATTCATAGATACTAGAGTCGGAAGGGACCTCAATAGATCATCGAGTCCGACCCGCTGCATAGGCAGGAAAGAGAGCTGGGTCTAGATGGCCCCAGCTAGATGCCT